ATCCTCACCGGCACCATTGCCCCCCTTCTTTCTCATTACCATAGCAACTGGCATCCCATAATGAGCAAAAGATAATAGGGACAGAAGGCAGGGAACATTTGAAAAGCAGCCTTTCACCTTTGGGGGTGCTGGGGCCTGGGGAAGGTGTGGGGGTCTCACCTGTTGTTCCTTTCCACTTGTTGGGGTCTCCTGGCATCTCAGGACACGCCCCACCCTCCAGGAGGACACCAGCTGGTGACAGTAAGACCACGAGGGACCACACACATGGGTGTGGTTTTTAAACCTTGACCTCTTCCAACACTCACACGTCAGGGTGACACTCACACAGTCCGGATTTCTGGCTGCTTTTGGGGAAAAAAAAGCCTCAGTCTCACGTGGCAGGAAGTGCTGATGCAGAGTGGCGGTGCCCTGTGGGGCCGGGCGTGGCTCCCCGCTTGTCCCCTCTCCACTCGCCGAGGCCAGGCGCCGGAGTTCTCTGATGTGTGTGTTTACTCTGGAGGAGTGACCCTGTGGCCGGGAAGCAGGTGGCTGAGGGCTGGGAGCTGCCCCAGAGGCCGTGAGTGCCCGTACCTGAGGCAGGTGGCCCCTTGTAAAAGGCCGCCCTACGGGCACCTGAAGTAGCATCGGGAGTGGACTCGGGTCTTGGGGATCCTTCCAGCCCTGAGGAAGGATGCTTCTGAGACCTTTGTTGATACACCCCAGTACCCCAGACTGCACACTCCCATCTCTTCCCTCCCATCCATCTTTTCTCCTTTCCTTTTTATTGCAACACTAGAGGCCCAGTGCACGACTTTTGTGCACTCAGGGTGGGAGGGGGGGGGGGGCCCTCAGCCCGGCCTGTGCCCTTTGGCAGGCAGTCCGGGAACCTTCAGAGGACATCCAACTGACAGCTTAGCACTGCCACGGAGGCGGGAGAGGCTCTCACCACCACTGCTGCCCTCACCAGCCGTCAGCCCAGCTTGTGGCTGGGGGGCTCTCCCCCTATGGGAGCGCACTGACCACCAGAGGGCAGCTCCTGCATTGAGCGTCTGCCCCCTGGTGGTCAGTGTGCATCATAGCAATCGGTTGTTCTGCAGTTTGGTCGATTTGCATATTAGCCTTTTATTATATAGGATACGAGCAAACAAGTGCACAGCTTCATTCATTTTCTCAGTGAACACGTGCATGTGGAGCCCAATCAGGAAACGAAGCATGACCAGCCCCCGGAAGGCTCCCTCCTGCCCCCACCTGCAAGGACACTATCCCGACTTCTAACCCCGAGATTGCTTTGTCTCCTTTGGAACTTTTTATCGGTAGAATCAGTGTTGCCCTTCGTTCGCTCAGCCTGAACCCGTGACACCTGTCTGTGTTGCTGTCATTTCCTCAGCATCTCAGAGTTTACCTGGTGCTCAGAGATGAGCTTTGACCACCTGCCCTATCACACGGTCCCAGGCCTCTGCCACCGGCCATGGTCTCTTTGCCTGCCTGCAACCACCCCCTGAGCAAGTGGTTCTGCCCGCACTTCACAGATGAGGAGACTGAGGCTCTGAGAGGACCCCAGCTTGCCAAGCTCTCCCAGATAGTCAAGGTAGGGCCCCCACACTTAGGCCAGAATTATGCTCCGTGTCTTAGATGCCCTGGAGTCCTGCCAACATGAGTGGCCCCACACTTTGGTCCCC